CTTTAACATCACCTGTTTTTAATTATAGTAACACTGATAACTAGAGCTTGATGAAGATTCTTTTGTACCTTATAAACAGATCCAAAGCCGCCTTCTCCAATCTTGTTTAAGGGATTAAAATTGTCAGTGGCAACTTTTAGTTGCCTCAAACTGAAGGAACCTGTTATCAGATAAATCCTTTTGAGCTCTTCATTTACCAAAAACACTGACAACTAAACTATAACAGATGTTACCTCTTCTTTTTCCTGCATCTTCATTGCTAATGCATATTCTCCAATACAAAGCGCCCAATATCAAGAAAGCAAGAGAGAGTATTAAAGCTGCTATGCCGAGAATGAGAGGATATCTTCTTGGTTTGTGCTGTTTTGTAACTGGTTGAATTTGCCGCGGAACTGAAGAGTAACATAGACAAAAAGAGAAAAAAGAGAAAAAGAGTGATTCATATTCAGATATAAGAGGTATATTAAATGAGGATTCAAAGACTTGACAACTCTTCCTCTTACCGCCACATTCAGATTCTGAACCTGATACAACAAGAACAACAAAAGAATCAGGATGAAAGTATTTTGAGAGAAACTTGACGTTTTCTATTACAGAATTTTTTACGTACTGGGGCAGACTGAGATTGCAGAGATAAGAGAACCATAGTTCCCTCTTTTGGGAATGATTAATGTGCCTTTGCCTGCCCAGTAAAACCGTATCTCTAAAGTGTTATCACTCACGGTCGTGTTCACTTCTCTTATAACTTCCTTGTGAGTTCCATTAGCCTCTTCCTTGATGTTGAAATCCTCCCAAATCAACTTCCCCTGAACAGATAACAAAGTTCATACTTCAAGAATCAGGCTAAACCGCTAAAAAGAGGTTCTTAAGGATTCCACAACAAAAGTCTATATGTACCTGAATGTAAATGTTAAAAAACCGTTTTCCTAGTCTAGCAAATGGTTCCTCATCTGAGAACTGAATCTCCGCAAAATGGAGTTTCACATTGTAGCTTCCATTTTCTAAACAAAACCCAAAATAAGCCAAACTCAGAGAAGAGCGCCTTGCATTATGATAAAGCTCAGGATATTTTGCTGAGACTGCAGATTCTGATGTAACTGAGTATGTATCGTCTGTTTCTCCATCATCCATGAAGTCACCAGTATTGCTGAATCCCCAATATTTCCCATGATAGCTCATAGATGAACTGGTAAGTCCATAGTTATCACCCTCATATAGAAACCTTCCTCGAGAGTTTTCGATAGTTACATCAGGTCCCCCGCAGTTTATATGCAGCGATCTACTGTCTGCAGAAAATGAAATTCTTTCAAGATCATATTCAAAAACACTTGAAAATGGATAATTGGCAAAACAATAGACAACTAAAAGAACTTTACAATTTTTGCATTGGTTTATAGCAGAACACGGAAGAAGTCTGGTTCTATATCAAGAAACAATGAGTTAGTAACAGTATGCACAGTTGCCTATGATTGATAAGATTGGTATATAATGTTCTTACAAACTGTTTCTTGAACGTGAGCTCTCATATGTGTTTACGTTACTGCATGAAAACATGTTATTAAAAGCTTTTTGAATGTTTCTTAGAAATGTGTTAACAAGATAACAATAGAAGAACATACTTTCTCTCTATGCAGCTTGGAGACCATGTGAAGTTATTATAAGAAAGATCACTGTAGATATGTTTATACATCACAACCACCAAAAAGAAAAAAATCAAGATGTGAGGTTGAAATGTTTTTCACATAAACGAGAGTATTAGAGAAAGTGATATTGGTCATACGTATTAGTGCTTGTAGTAAGGAAAGGTCCTGATTCAACTTTTCCTGACAACATATTCCCAGCCAAATATCTGAAAAAAGAATTCAAACCAGGAGATGAGTTCATGAATTTTTACTTAATACTATAGAATGCTCTCATCTTTTAACACTATAGCTGTATGGCACATACGTATATTGTGGCGCAGATGCATCTGCGGGTATCTCTCCTGTCAGACTATTAAAAGAAAGATCGCTGCCCGGAAAAGAAAAAGAACCATAGTCAATATTTGGGATGTTGCGTTGTGATGTAAACATATATATACATGAAACTTACAGAGTCTTGAGTTTAGGAAGATCCCAGACACTGGTTGGGATTGTTCCAGTTAAGTTCATGTTCCTTAGAACCCTGAAAAATCAACAGAATAATCAATCTTGAATCTTAAAACACATATATTAAAAACTAGGATCTTGTATCTGGCAACACAGTCTCATAATTATATATGTATGTGGACACACTGCATACAAAGTTTCCAGTCTCTTGCTAGTTATAAGAGGAATCTGTCTCAATCCTGCAGTTGTGTCGCTGATCCTCCTGCATTGACATAAATGGCTACCGTTTATAGACTGAATAAGAGAAACATGCTACTGTAATTTAAATTCTTCTTCCTTTGGATGTTTTAAGAGATGAATAAATACTTACAGGTCTTTCAAATTTTCTAGACGGAAAATGGACTCTGGAATAGGTTCGGTTAAGCCGCTTGCGTAAAGTTCTCTGATCAAGGATGAGTACAAGTCACTCACTGTAATGCTTCAAGGCTTGAAGCTATTAAAACTGTACTGCTTCAAGTCTTGAAGCTATTAAAACTGTAATGCATAGTTTCTTGACTTACAATCTTTGAAGTTTTGATAAGTTCCCTATAAACTCAGGGATGGATCCGTTAAGGCGATTGTCACTAAATCGACTGCAAATGATGGAACGAAGTTGTTATACATGATAAATTATATCTGCTACATTTAAAAGCCTGCCATATTGTTAAGAAAATAATGTTGATCATACAGGTTCTTCAGATTTCTTAGTCTTGCTAATGTCTTGGGTACGCTTCCAACTAATTGGTTAGATGAGAGTGCTCTGAGAGAATCAGTAAAACAAAACAAGATTAAGATATCATGTTTAAGAGAATCACACCAAATTCTGGTTAACATATTATTTACTTACAATCCTTCAAGGTTAACTAGGTTCCCTAGTTCCTTAGGGATAGTTCCAGAGAATTGATTGGCTTCAAGAACTCTGTAATCATACAAACAAACAAACAAACAAAACAACTTAGTTTTGAATTCCAAAAGGATGAAACTTTATACGTAATCACAGCAGATGAACAAAGAACACATACAAGAGAGTGAGGTTAGTAAATTTTCCCAATCCTTTAGGAATGTCTCCTGATAAGCGGTTTGCGCAAACAGAGCTACAGGGAAACAATTTCAGGTAAATTCAAAAGCATTTCTTACTTCTTTAATAACCAAGAAACAATTGAGAGCAAAAACTTACATAGATGTTAGGTAAGGCAGTGAGGCCCATTCCATAGGAATTGAGCCGTAAAGATAATTACGGCACAAGTCACTGCACAAACAAACATACAAAAGAGTTTGGTTTATAAATATAATGTTTCCTCAACAACAACATTGAAAACAGAGGAAACTGAACACAAAGAAACCTCCTTACATTAGTTCAAGATACCGAAGCTTGGAAAATTCTGGTGGAAGTCTACCGGGGAGACTGGATGATTTAAAGATACTGCATATGATATGATGCAACATTAGTTATATAGAACCAAAAGCCAATAGATTTCCCCTGGAAGTAAACAGACACAAAACTGGCTAGTTTCTTACAAGTGTGTGATATGACAAGTGCTGTTGTTGTTGAAGCTACAGTCACATATGATAGTGCTGTTTTTCCCTCCATTGAGAACATCTTGAGTTATCACTAGAGTCTTTGTGAGACATGGATTTTCACTTAGGTTCAAATGTTTCACACCAAGCGTCAATGCAATATCCTTAAGTGCTTTCACTGGTAAAGACAAAACAATTAGTAACACAAGCAAGTTAGTTCAAATCCACAAAGACAAAAGCATTTTGTTTGGCAATATATCATGCATTTAAAAGCACTAAACCTTCATCTGGATGAAGAGAAGGAGAAGCAGATGTTTTATAGACCAAGTAGATAAGAGTAAGAACAAAGAGTAGAGAGCTCAAGTGGCGGCTTTGAGACATGATCATGTGTTTGTAAGCTGCATACAAGGAAGATTATGTGAAAGTGATCTATATATGACTTGAAAACACTATATATATATATAGTACTAAATACTAAAGAAGAAACTAAAACTCTTCATTAATACATTTATATATTAAAAAGAATTATATATGCATGTATATATCGTATCTATAGAAAAGTGTGAAAGATGTGAAGTGTCTTGAAATGAAGTCTGACTAAGCTGAAGATTTTAAGAGTTTACACATGGCGTCTTGCTTGCTAAACCCGGATAAGTGTATCACTTTTGTTAATTACGATCCGGCCTCTCTGTTTCTATTTACTAACATTACGAGGAGAACTTTTAATTTGAAGCTTATTTGACCCTTTCCTCTGCATTTTACTTTTAGAACTACTACAAGAACATACTTTAGATCACATTTTTCACCACTTTCAGATATAACTTTTTGTTTTAAACAACTGTAATTCTAAAATCTTCAGTCCAAATATGAAGGTCTTGGATAGTTTTGTCAACAAATGAAAATTGGAGGGGTTGATCAGTTTTGTATTATACAAAAAACTTGATAGAATATTACATGAAATTTCTTATGTTGAATACTTGGACTAGTTGATTGTTTTATTTAGTTATTAATCAACCTGCTTGACAGTTGACTTATACTTTTCCCATGGATCCAAGAACTAGTTGTGATTAAAATTAGTTTACTCCATTTTTAATTTTATTGATCCTCTCTCAAAGTATTGTATAGTTTCAATGCAACAGGTACTATAGTACTATACGGACTTGAGTCAATTTGGTCATTTTCTTGGCAAGTCAACTCAACCTTTAAGGTAGACTATTTTAGACAATTGGTACACAAAGGAAACTAATTCTTTAAGATCAATAGGTACACAGAACATAAAGAATAAACTTAATTGTTTGTGTCAGATCATCTCACAAATCCAGCCTATCATTTACTACCAAAAGACTAATTTGGCTGTAAGAATAAACTTTTTCTTTCAGTTAATTTTGGAGGCTTAAAAAGTATGACTTAGAAAAGATCACTGGTTACATATCTTTTGAGTTTTGATTCTCCACAATATTCAGTCCCCAACTAAAAGAACCTAAATACAGAAATGGGGAATTACTGTAAATGACTAATCGTGGGATGAACTCAAAAACATTGTACAAAATTAATAGTCAGACCATTTCAAAAAGAGAGGTAATGCATTGGGAGGCTCTTCAGTTTCTTGATTCTTCTTTGTTTGTTTCTTGAACTACTTGTCCAGCCCCAGAAGAAATTGATGAAGAAGAAGGATAACTTTTAACCGAACGCTGCGTTTTACTGCTGTTCTCCATGCCTTTCTTTAAATCTTTAAATGCTTTAAACCTTATATCCCCTGAGTTCTTACTTATTCCTGGTGTTGACTCTGGCACTGGATAGAGACCTTCGAGCATCGCAACGACCTCTGACATGATAGGACGATCTGTTGGAGAAGCACTCGAGCACACGAGAGCGACTTTTATAATTGTTTCTGCTTCTTTTTTGTCCACTTCAGGCCTCAATCTCTCATCCACCACTTGCATCAAGTGCCCTGATTCTAGGCACTCGTTAGCCTGCAGATACACCAAAAGGGTTAATCAAGAAAACCATTTTTTGGTTTCAGAAGTTCATAAGAAAGTGAGACTTGGAATCATATTATATATACCCATTCCAAGAGACAGACAGAATCCCCTGCCGCCATGAAATTACTGTTGGTTACGCCAGCGACAATCTCTAGAACCAAGACGCCAAAGCTGTAGACATCTGCTTTGAAAGTTAGGTAACCCCACAGTGCGTATTCTGGTGCCATATATCCTCTGCAGAGGTTCATATGATTCTTCTAGTTAGCAAACAAACGTAACAGTAAAGAAAATATTAATGGAAAAAAAGGGCGGGCTCAAGCCTCACATAGTCCCAGCAACTTTTGTGCTGATGTGTGTTTTCTCCTCTTCATCTAGCCTAGCCAATCCAAAATCAGATATCTTGGGAGTTAAATCCTTGTCCAATAGAATATTTGTAGCCTTGATATCTCTGTGTACAAACTTCAATGGTGACTCCTCATGGAGAAACGCGAGACCCTTTGCAATCCCACAGCAAATTTGAAACCTAGTAGACCAGTCCAGTGGTATCTGCTTATGCTTTGGACCTAAACATTGCAAGACAAACACATACTATTAAGAGCTGAAGCATCAAAAAACTTTCATTAGCCATAGGTAGTATTAAAAATAAATATGCTCACTGAATAACGCGCTAGATAGACTGTTATTTTCCATGTATTCATACACCAGTAATAGCTGAGCCCGCTCGACACAGAAGCCATGAAGCTTGACAAGATTTGGATGTTGAAGACAAGATATTGCGCCTATCTCGTTTAGAAATTCTCGATTCCCTTGTCTTGATTTAGATGAGAGTTGCTTAACTGCTACAACTCTTCCATCTGCTAACACACCCTGCAATTGAGATTTTCTATCAGCATGAAGTGCACTGCAACTTTAGCTTCTTCATATATCAAGAATCATCTCATCCCTTAATCTTACCTTGAATACTGCACCGAAACCACCTTCTCCAATCTTGTTAGTTGGATTGAAGTCATCTGTAGCAAATTTGATTTGCCTTAATGTAAAAGTTCCAGAAGGCAACTCGTCTTCATAGGGATCTGTGATTAAAAAACTCAGAAGCAATAAACAAAAAAAAAACACTTTCTTCTTCCGTTTCTTACATAAATTCACAATGTTTAATATATATATATATATATATGATCAACTCCATATCAAAAGCAAAAAAAGTTTGAAAAAAAGCAGTGATCACCTTTTCGTCGTTTACCACATAGTGGAAGGCAGCCACACCACCACAAAATTCCCACGATTAAGATAAGAAGACATGGGGCACCAACTCCAACTGCAATATATGCTCCCCTGCTCATTCCAGTATCCGGACGTGAGCATGGCTTAGAATCTGTACATTGAAGGTATTGGTGTTAGAAAATTAATGTGGTGAGAAAAGAGTTCAAAATGCATATAAAATCAGAAGCACATATCCACGTGGCTACGGCGATAATAAGAAAGCTACCTGAAGATATGGAAATAGCCGATATGAGAGGACCATAAACCCCTCTAGTGGGAATCCTGGTAGTTCCTTTACCAGCCCAACGCAACCTGATGGTTAAAAAGTGGTTTGTCACATTGGCAGTAAAAGTTTTGGTTAGAGATTTTTGAGCTCCCTTCGCTTCATCCATGATGTTGAAGTCCTTTGCCACTAATTTCTCCTGCCGAAAAGAGGCGTTAAGAAAAAAACACATTGCATCCAAAGACGCTTTTATTTCACCAGCTAAGGCAAAATGCTAACCTGAATGTAAATATCAAACAAGCGCCTCCCAAGCCGGCTATAGTTTTCATCATTGGTAAATCGCATCTCAGCAAAATCTAGATTTATAGTGTAGTTCCCATTTTCCAAGCAGGCATGGAAGTAAGTAAGAGATACTGGAGCTATTCGCGCTGTTTTGTATAGATCAGACAAGTTAGATGCCGGGACAAACATGGTAAATCTTGTATTTTGGAAATTATTGTCGTCCATAAAGTCCCCTGTACTGCTAAATCCCCAATTAGCGTCAGGCTTCAAATAATATTTTGCAGCACCACCTTCAACCCCTCCATCTCCTTCATATAATTCTTTTGTCTTTTTCTCCTTCACATATATATCGCTTCCACCGCAGTTCACATGTAAACAGCTAGAATCTGCCAGATAAAGTGAGAGAGAGTAAGCAAGTGAAATTTCCACATTAACATTTATATATTATGATGATAGCAAGACAGGAAATAACAAGATCGATGTGGGACTAAAGTAGAAGGTACTTAAGCAGGTGGTTTCAGATGTGAGACTATTATGAAATGATCTGCAGTTCCTCCTAGTCCTATGTGTTTGTACTAATTGAATACATTTTTGAAGAATAAAATCACTTACATCGAGGGCATTTGAAATCGTTGATGCACGGCAGAAATTTGCTCCTACAAAAACATCAATTGGGAATTGCATATCCGAATCATTTGTGGAATATCTTCAATCAGTGTGTAGACTTAAGACACAAATACAGAATCTAGATGCTAAACATAATCGAAAGAAAAGACCTTACGATTTTTTCGTAGAAGTGCTCTGAAACAAGTTTAGATTCAAATTCCTAAAACAATAAAAGTTGGATAAATTATCAGTTAAAATGGTAATTATGTCAACCAAAGCGTAAAAGAGGAAACCATGACAGTATATCCTCACATGTTTGGCCGACAAGAACGACTTTCAGGACTCTGCCACTTTAGATTGTTATATGAAAGATCTCTGCATAAACAAGTAAATTGATATCATAATGAATTCAAACTATTCTGAGGTAGCAAGTTTTAAAGGCAATTTGCAAACTCCAGAAATATACACACAATGTGATTCCATCCCTTAGTAATTCATCTGGAGCTTCTCCCTCTAGCTTATTTCCAGCCAAAATTCTGCAAAACCAGTCAACTAATCATTCTTAGTCAAAAGTAAGAAAGAAATTTAACGTATATGACAGTAAGAATCTTTTCACTTACATAAACCGTAAATTTTCTGCATGTGCAAATGACGGAATTTTCCCAACCAACTTGTTAAAACTCAAATCCCTATTGACCAACATAACAAGAATTAATCAATCATGTCGTTGTTTCATGTACAAACCTAATCTTCATTTTCTTTAAGTTCATAATTATTCTGTGGCACATCAACTAATTCTGAAACGTAGTTTGCCAGGAACCATTGAGACTTGATAAAATTTTTGGAAGACATGCTTACAGTGTCTCCAAACCCTTGAAAGATGAAAGATAAGCAGGAATATGTCCAGAAATGTTACAGTTCTTCAATATCCTACAATGTAAAATACACACAAAAAAAAAAAAAAAAAAATTAAATCAGAAATAGATGAAACAGCTTCAACAAAGCATCTGATAGAACTGACTTACAGTTTAGATAATTCTGTTACGTTCTTCAACAAAGGGAATGGTTGGACTGGTCCACCTATATCACTGATCCTCCTGAAAACAATATATCAATGTAATAAAAGTGTCATCTACATTATTATAGATGAACAAACTGAGTTTATGGAGAGAAATATGAACATCATAAGAGTGGTATCTACTCACAGATTAGCTAGATTGCTCAGACCTGAGATGACCGATGGGATTGGACCAGTGAGACCAGATGCAATCATTTCTCTACAAGAATGAAAAGAATACCATCACTGAGTGCTTCATTAACACAGAGAATTTAAAAAAAACAAAAAAAATGGAATATACAGTCTCTTGAGTTCCTTCCAGTTCTGTATGTAACTTGGAATTGTTCCTGTAAGTTGGAGATCGTTAATCCTGCTGCATTGTGAAAAAACCAAACAGAGATGAATAAACAAAGTCCACCATAATCAGTAGTTAAGTTAGGGGAAACAAATAATAAAAGCTTACAAATCCGTCATATTCTGTAGTCTAGCTAGTGAAGCTGGCAAATTTCCCGTCAATTTGTTGGAGGAAAGCAACCTGGAAGAAGAAATGAACACCAGAAAGATCTCACCCTTGAGAAACACACCACACGCTAAAATATAGGCACAATAAAGGAAACAAAGAACAGAAAGGGAATGAGAAACTCTCACAGTGTTTTCAAGTGGACTAAGTTCCCAAGCTCCTGAGGAATAGTTCCAGAAAAATCATTTGACTCAAGATCCCTACACAAGAGCAGCCAAAAATAAAATAATAGCACATCTGTAGAGAATGCTAAAAAAAATTTCAAATTGGAAGTGCACCAAAATATTCAAATTGTTTAGCTAACCATACAACATGATAAGTTGATAACTTTAACGGGTTCCCCTTCAGAATATGCTAAGACCTAGCAGTGCAAATAAGATTGACCGTTGTTTCAGACTTACAAGTATGTTAGTGCCGAAGAGTTTCCAAACTCTTTCGGAATTTCCCCTGACAGCCGATTCACAAGAAGAGATCTGCAGAGACAGTCTGTTACTGTACAGGAGCATTTAGACACTAAAGCTAAAAATAATAGGGAATGTTCTTACATAAAAGTTAAATTTGAATAAGCCCATTCACGTGGTAAGGTCCCATTGAGGTAGTTGTAGGCCAAGTCTCTAAAATATAGCAAGAAACAGTGGTCAAAATTATCAGCTTTTATCTTCTTCAATTGGTAAAAATTTTCTAGCTAGGCGAAAGAAAGGTTGAGATACTTTTACAAGAGCTCTTACATCTCCCGAAGGTAGGGAAGCTTGACTATCTGAGGAAGAGTTCCTGGAAGATTATGGTCCTTGAATGCACTACCAAACAAGTCAAAGAGCAATTAGAAAATGATTACAAAGTTGCAAAGACTATTCTTTCTGCTTCAGAACATGGTCATCTCCATTTCTAGATAGTATGCATAAGAGCCACTACCACGAAAATGCACCAAAGAAAAACTCAAGTGAAATGGGTCATACGGGTAAATATCACTAATCAACGGTGCATTACCAAATACAGAGAAGACCATAATGTCTTTGAGATCAAATACAATTTCTGAAGGATGTCTGAGAAATTCTTACATTTTGACAATATGACAATCAGTTTCGTTAGTGGGACTGCATTCACATTCTATCTCTTGCTTAGCTGTTGGAGGAGGAGTTTCGGTTAACCCAACCTTTTCAATCTTACAACCTTCAGCATCAAATTTCCAGAATCTCGAGCCCAATGTGTTAGCGATTTGCTGCAGAGCATCGACTAAAGAGGCAGAGACACAGAAGCAAAACAGCATCATATATCAGAACAATAACTTGTGGAAGAACAAACATGGATCGAAACCAAGCTAAACGATTTATCTAAACCTCTTCATCCACACCAAAAATATGAATGATCATCATCATCATCATCATCATGTGAAAGGCCTAAAATAAGAGTTCTTTCAAAGCGAGTTCAAATCGAAATCAATCAAAACATGATTTAATTAACACAAAATTGACCTAATCAAGATTATTATATAATCCTCTTGTAGATTCTGGTCTCGACTACTTCAATTAAACAAAAAAAAAAAAAAACTTGAAAAATCTCAACTTCACCAGATTTTTTCCAGGTGACCAATCAGAAAATCCCTTTTCCAATGAGTAAAATGTTAAAAATCAAAACTTTTTATCATACAGTATAAAAAACTTCACCAACCAAACAAAAATAAAAGAAAGAGAGCAAAAAAAAGGAGCCAACTTTGAAAAAAAGAATGAACAAATCCAAAAAAAAAAGGGAGTAATTTTTAAAACAGGAAACCAGAAAGGAACTAACTTGGAACAAACCTTCTTCTTGAGGTAACTTGATAGCATTTATACCGTAAAATCTGAAGCAAATAATGATTGCAAAAACAGAGAATGCAAAGATATTAGGAACATCCTTCTTCTTCTTCATCTTCTTGATAAACATTTCACAGACAGACATATGCAGCAACAACAAATCTCCCTAAATCAATGTATCATCGAAAATAGTAAAAATGGTAAAAGGAAGATCTGAGATTTTTCTTGGGTTGGTATTGGCAAAGTGTGATGGTTTTAGTGGAATCGTAGAATTATGACAAAATAGAATCTATGAACAGTGACTTCTCATCCCCTCGTTCTTTTTTAAAAACAAAAATGTTTTTTTGAACTTGTCTAGTCAATTTTGTTCATCCTTTATTTGTCATAATTTTGAAATTACAGAGACGTATTAAGAACCCAAAAAAAAAAGAATGGTAAAACCCCCCACCCATTAGAGAAAAAAGAGAAAGAAAAATAAACTCATTAACCCTACAAAAGTCCTATCTATCATCCACTAGAAAAAGACATATATATCAAAAATAGTATTAAGCTTTTTTTTCTTCATTGTGTGACAATGTGAATGATGGTGTTATCAATGAATGACGAAAATAGTTGCACAAAGAAAAAAGAACAATTATTATTAGTTGAAAAGTTTTCCAAAATAGTAAAAAAAAACAATTAATCATTCAATTCTAATGAAGTAGATTCTCTTACACTTAAAGGATTTTGATATCTACATTACAAACACAATAAAAAAAATCTCTTAAATCTAGATAAATCACATTTAACTGTTAGTTAAAAATAAAATTGCTATAAATAGTGGTAAAATATATTGGTAAAACAAAAATAATTAGCTCAATAAGTTGAGTTCAAAAAGTCAAGTCAGCTGTTCATATGGTTGAATTCCTAAGTAAATATAAAGTCAACAGCCAACTAATACAAAGGACTAGTCTTATTAGGGAGAATCATATTCCACATGATCAACGATTCTTGTATGATTAAGAAAAATTAGTGCTGGTGGCAAAATCTTAAAAGTATCCTACTACACTACTCTCAATTATCTCTTTGTGGGAAACTATCTAACTATGCCACCAAACATTCATTTTTTTTCTCTCTTTCTAATCTCAACTTATTGAATTTTGTATTAGACTAGTAGAAAATTGAGTGTGTCTGTAGTTCCCAATTTTCCTGAGGTTTGGTTTAAAATTTTTTGATCCGGTTATTAAATAATCCGGTTTGATAGTCCACTCCGGTTATCGTACGGACGAGTATGACGTATAAATTTAAAATTAAAAAAAAAAATATATTGGTCACGCCGTTTGTGAGATAATCTATCAATCACGCTTATCGTCATCGATGCATTTGAAAGCTTCGCAAGTCACGCAATCTCCTTCTTCTTCTGGGTTATCATCATCATCAATCAATGGAGTCCGACTCCGAGTCCTTATCTAACCCTAACACCACCGAAGAATTCGATCGATTCCTTGACGCGCCTGACGAATTTTACTACGATTGCTTGCCGGTCCGTTCCAATTCCCACCGTCTACATCATTCCTCTCATTTACGCCGCCGCAAGTCGGCAAATCCCCGGAATTTGACTTCTTCCGAGCCGTCTTCTTCTTCCGATGGATTTGAAGTCGGTGGCAATGTGGAAAAGAGGGAGGAGCTTAGTAACGGCGATGACGACGTAATTGAATCAACCAGTGACCTAATTGATCTATCTCCGGAAACAGAGAACGATTTGGATGTGACTGAGGATAAAGGGAACGATATGAATGTAACTGATCCGGTTCGGAACCGGGTTAACCCGTTTCGGGAAGAATCCACGGTGACCACCGTGAGCAGTAATGATGATGACCGAGAAGACGACGGCTACGCGGGATTGGCGGCGACACAGCTTCGTGAACCATCTAATTCATCAGAGTGGTCTCTTCTTGGGTTTTTGGTTGAGCTAGTGATCAAAGCAATCGAATTTCAAGTCAGTTTGATGACAAGCTTACTCACGTTTCCATCATGGTTTCTCCAGTACGGTTTTCTCTTCTTTTTCGATCCATTTAGCACAGTTAGGTTTGGCAGACGGTTTCTAATGGCGAGAGTTGCAGTGATAAGTGATATGATATTTGGGACTATGAATCCGTTTAGGTTGAGTTGGTTGAAAGATACCAAACGAATGTTGAGTGTTGCGTGCAAGTTTGGATGGGGTATGTTTTGGGCTGTTTATGTTGGCACTGTGCTGTTTGGCTTGTTGGTTTCGTCGCTTATGATTGGTGGTTTCATGATAAACCGTATAGCGGATGAACCATTTGTACTCAAGGAGATCTTGAATTTTGATTACACCAAGAATAGTCCAGAAGCATATGTGCCAATAACCTCCTGTGCTGGTGTTGATTGTGTGGGAAGTTGCAAGGAAAGTAATGAAATGTCGAAGATCAGGGGATTGCGAGTTATACCTCGAGACCAGAAGTTAGATGTCACTCTTTCAATGACATTACCTGAGTCTGCTTACAATAAAAATCTCGGCATGTTTCAGGTATTGCCATTAGCTTTATCCAACACTCGTTAACCATTGCATTTCTCTGGCTTATAATAGCCTTGCACGTCGTCACAAAGCTATGCAAAATATGAAGAACAGAAAATTTTTTTCTTATGTGTATGCGTTTGTTCATCCATTCTGATATGGGACCATGTGTTTGTTGAAGGTTCGGGTGGACTTCTTATCTGCAGATGGTCAAACGATCTCGAGTATAAGGCGTCCCTGCATGTTAAGATTCAGAAGTGAGCCCATCCGTCTTGTTCAGACATTCTTCAAAGTGGTTCCGTTAGTGACAGGATATGTCTCTGAGATCCAAACCTTGAGCTTAAAGTTGAAAGGCTTTGTTGAAAAGGACATTCCCACTGCTTGCATAAAGATAATTATTGAACAACGAGCAGAATTTCGACCCGGAGCAGGTATTCCAGAGCTGTACGATGCATCCTTGTCGGTTGAATCCGGTCTTCCCTTCTTCAAAAAAGTTATATGGAAATGGCGGAAAACTTTGTTCGTCTGGATCAGCATGAGTTTGTTCATTACAGAATTGCTTTTCACGTTGGTTTGTTGCAGACCTCTGATCATCCCAAGAACACGACCTAGAAACAGATCACCTTCAAACCCAACAAGAAGTGGATGATGATTTAACGGTTACTGTAGATCATGTGTGTAACGCTCTGAAATGATATTTTCAATTCCTGTTTAACTTATAGCTCCAAGAGTTCTTTGATTTAATTGTAAATTCTTACTAATCAAAGTTATATCTTACATATGTTTTAATTTAAAAGTATGTCCTATAAACGAATGTGGTAAGTTGATATAATGGACACTTTCAGTCTCTCTCTCTACAAAGCACTGTGTATATTATCTGAGAGAAGAGAACACATGTTAATTTTAAAATAGTCAAACATTAGAAAGTCTAAAAGTGACACAGGCACAGTATATAAGCATCAAAAGCACTAAAGCAGGAGTCATTCACTTCTAACTGTAATCCCATGAAATTTTCTGAACCTTTCTATTGTTTCCAACACTCTTTTCCAATAATATTCTGTCTTCACATTTATATATTGCTGTCAATTGAAAGACAATCAGAACTCAAATATATATGTCAATGACTAAAAACTGTTATTTTGCTAAAAATAACTCTTGACCTTTCTACCTTTCTAAATCACAACCTTAACAAACTAAACTATACCAAATCAAGTACTCTTCCGTTCCAAAGCCAGTAGCATGGATGTTAGAAACTTAAAAGCTCCTATATACATATCATCATTTCTCCAAGTTTCCATTTGAGCCAGCTGCAGAAAAGAACCAGGAATTCTCCTCACCCTTTTGAACTCTAGTTCTTGATAATGGCGTGCCTTGGATTTCTGGGGAAAACCACCCCGAAATCATTTGGGCGTCATAATAAATATGGAAGGAGAAACATCCATCATCATCATCATCAATCTAGATGTTCGGCTGCGGCCGTTGCAGCAGCTGGCTCCATCTTCACATCCCTCAACATGTCTATCTTCACATTCCACAATCGCCTCTTGCGTTGCGTCTCTAGGTTTTTCTGTCTAGCCACCACATCCAGCGCAACTCCTAGCCATCGAGCCACCATGAAACAAGGTTACAAAAAGCTCCAGAAACCCGAGTATCAGCCTCATCTGAGAAAGCGTAATGACAAGAAAAGGACGATATTTCTTGATCTTGATGAAACATTGGTGCACTCAACAATGGAACCACCAATCCGGGCTAATGCTGATTTCATGGTGAAGATAAGGATCGAAGGAGCGGTTATACCGATGTTTGTGGTGAAACGGCCAGGAGTTAATGAGTTTCTTGAAAGGATCTGTAAGAACTATCGAGTGGCGATTTTCACAGCCGGGTTACCAGAATATGCTTCACAGATTTTGGATAAACTTGACAAGAACCATGTGATCTCGCGAAGGCTATACCGTGATTCATGCACAGAAATGAATGGAAGATATGCTAAAGACTTATCTTTGGTAACGAAAGAGGACCTCGGGAGTATTCTGCTAGTTGATGATAACCCTTTCTCCTACTCGTTGCAGCCGGAAAATGGAGTTCCCATTATGCGTTTTGTGGATGACATGGAAGATCAAGAACTGATGAAGCTTGCGGAATTCTTTGACAGATGTTATCAGTATGAAGATCTGAGGGATGCAGCAACAGAGTTTCTATCTAACAAGCTGATTTGATGCACATATATATGTGAATTTTGTTTGCAGAACCTGTCTTCAATTTTTTGGGATTCTTTCTTTCTTTTTGTTGATTTTCTTTGGGGAGGGATGATACAGCCAAACGGTATTTTTGTGTTGAAAAAGGATGATTCCTTATCCTTCTTCAACGTTTCTACCTACATAAAAAGCCCCTACATAAAATTGTAAGCTTTTTTTTCTTCAGAACATTCAAAAGTGTATCATGTAACCAAGAAAATTCAGAAAGAAAAAAAAAAAAGTTTTGGACTAGCAATTAACTAATATATGTTAACATCAAGAAATAAGTACCCACAGACTCTATCTTCAACATAAATATTAAGTAATACTATAAGAAAGTAATCTTAACTGGTTTCGAAACATATATTGAATGCTTTTAAGTATCTATTACTAGATATTCTGTTGACAAAGGAAACAAGAGCAATGATCAAGAATTGACTGCAAGAAAACGACTCGGGCCAACGTTACCGCTAAGACTATAAAGTTTCTATGCTTGAGCCTTGAGACATGTTCACAGAGCAATCACTCTTGAAGAAACGAGTTGTTCATGTTTGACCCATAAAACTCATCAAAGTTATTCTTTTATTCTTGTCTTTAGCCCTTTAGGACTTGACACTAAAGAAGAAGGCTTTCAATAAATGAAACCTAAACAATTATAGCTTACAAAATTTCAGTAAGTGATTTTATACTATATTTCTTTATTTTCATTGTGAAAAATTATGTAAAACCAGAAACAACTTTAAGTTATAAACAAACTCCAACAGGTTATATAGTTTAGCTAGTTCACCAGGTACACCAAAGCCATCGCTGTGAAGTAGCAAAAAGGCAGCAGCAATATACTTCAACTGTAATCCCATTATAATCTCCATACCTCTAAATCTTAACTAAACTTCTGATGTATATCTTGCTGGTTCATGATGTATGTACATTTATGTCCATGATACATGAAACAGCAAAACTATGCTCTAATTTCCGAAACTGATTTTTTCTAAAAGTAGGCCATCTTCTCTACTTCACCACTAAATTTCCATAAACAAACTAAACTAAACCAAATGTATAATAACGTATAAAAGCTAGCAGAAAGTAAATCCGGAAATACCTTACCACTACCAAGCCTTCCGTCTGAAAAGCCGTTAGCTTATTTTGTTCATCAAAACTTTTTTTCTTCATTGGGGAACTAAGCAGCCGGGAGAAGCCAATGGAAACTGAACGCATCATCGAAAAAATGCCAGAAATGTTCCATAAACAGCAACAGAAAACTTACCCATTGATGTCCATCTTGAAGTTTCATTGTCGCCTTCTGCGTTGTGTTTCCAAGTGCTTTAATTCCCCAACCATCAGCTATCCAGCCACAAAACATAGCTATACAAATCTTGAGAAACCCGAGGATCCTCTGACAGAATATACCAACATGAAAAGGACAATCATCCTTGATCTTGATGAAACGTTGGTTCACTCATCAACACAACTTCCAGGAGTTAAATATGATTTCATGGTGATGGTGAAAATGGAAAGGGATATAATACCTATCTTTGTTGTGAAACGTCCTGGTGTGACTGAATTCTTGGAAAGACTTGCGGAAAGTTACAAAGTGGTGGTTTTCACAGCCGGTCTAGAAGATTATGCTTCACAGGTTTTGGATAAGCTAGACAAGAACCATGTGATCTCACAGAGGCTATATCGAGACTCATGCACGGAAGTGAACGGGAAATATGTAAAGGACTTGTCTTTAGTAGTGGGGAAAGACCTCAGAAGTGCTTTGATTGTTGATGACAACCCATCTTCTTACTCATTACAGCCAGATAATGGAGTGCCCATAAAGGCTTTTGTGGATGACCTAAAAGATCAAGAATTGCTGAAACTTGTGGAGTTCCTCGAATGCTGTGATTCATATGAGGATATGAGGGATGCAGTGAAGGATTTGCTGGCGAACTAGCTCGTTTAATTTGCATATAAAGTATCTTTTTCTGTTTTCCCTTTTCTTTGTCGTTTTTCGGGTGATAGGGGGAATGATGATATAGGTAATCAGTTTTTGCGTTGAAAAAGGGTACTTCCTTCTTCAATGTTGCACCTACATATATGAGAGTTTTTACCATAAACGAAAACAAAACGAAGACAAAAAGACACTCTTGTACCAGCAAATATTTGTGAATAAAAAAGGGTTTTAGCTGTAGTATGAAATTTCCCAACTGTCTTATGATATTGTCACGTAATGACATGCAAAACAACTTTTCCAGAAAGAGATACCATTGCAAATAACAAGGTTTATTAATGGAAGTATGGAACAGTACTTACAATGGTAGACGCCTTTAAGTAGATATTTGCTCCCCATGTCCTTAGCTGCTTGAAGCTTCTTTGGCAATTGGCCACAGAAAGCAGTGCTCCTAGCTTCCAAAAGCAGCAGTGATACGATGACCAATTCCAAACCGCAATGTACACGCTATTAATACAAAAAAAGCCATAACCTTTTTGACACAAACATATCATACAGGACACATACCAGATTACCTAGTTGATAACCTTTTGAGCACTAAAAGGCTGCAAATCAGACACAAATCCTGTTGATTTCCACTAAGGGTTCGATAGCGTCATTGCGGTGTTTACATCTCTAAAATTATGTATGCATCTAAACGAAAAAGCAACAAATTTTGTTCAGTTTTGGAACAAACGAACCAAGAGTCCTATACGCGTACAAAGATGAGATATGACCTCAATAACTTAATATATTCAGCTACTTCCAAAATTGAAACTTCCAGATTACTCTTAACAATGTTCCAAGCTTAAAAAGTCTACTAGCGATCGCAAGTTTATCCGATCTTGTTAACAAAATTGATTAGAACCAGTAAAGAAGCAACTTCCAATAATATGAGGATCAAGATCCAGTACAATTACATACAAGAAAGAAACAATAAAGAAGCAATCTTATAATAGATATGAAGATCAAGATTCCAGTACAATTCAAAACTTGTGATACTCAAAACAATTACAACAACACCAAAAACTCTGGACAGAAACACAACTCTCTTTCTCTCTAACTCCACCAAAACTCCGGCAAGAACTACTACAACAACCTATATAAATCAAACCTGTTAATTTTATAATTCACAGAGGAAGACTTGACTTGGAAGTCGCAAGGCTTCAGCTTTACTGAAGCACAAATCGTCGAGAGCTTCACTGCGGCACCACCTGCATCTAGGGAAAGCAGAGCACTGAGATCTAGATCGCATCTCGCAGCATTTGGGTTTCCTAATAGTCTTGCCCTGCTTCGGATTTGTACGATTCTCTAACAGCTCGCGATCTAAAACATGAACTTCAGATTCGGATGAAGAAAGCGATGGACAGAGTATAAGGAGGTGGAAGATGATTAGTAGGAGAAGGAAAGACGAGAAGGTTGAGCTAGATTCCGGCATCGAGACCACACCAACAACCACCAAAAAACACACTTTTTCTTCGGTATTTTCGGAAAGTCGTCTTTTTTATTTGCTTCTCTGTAATAACTCGGCGAAAAGTGGGAAACCTGTCAATATCTTTCTTCGTCGAGTCGGCCTACAAATCTACACACGCGTAAGAATATATTCACGCGTGTGGGCGCGCAAGTTAGCGGCTAGTTACACCATAGACATAGCCACAAAGGTGAAAGGTAGTCCCTTTTGTAATGTAAATCAGTATAGTAAAGTAGAAAGATTAGAGAACTCTGTTTGCTTTTGTCCAAAAAAAAGAGAACTCTGTTTGCTGTTATAGTTTCAAAGTTCTGATAGAAGATTTGTGTTATCCATTGGATTCAAAAGTTCTTTGTATTCTTCATCTAGTAAAACAAACTTGATACCACTAATTTTAAGATACATAATGATTCAAGCTTGTTGCAATAAAGGAAAAAAAAAGAAGACAAAGACATGTGAACCAGTCTTGATGTGAACACACTACTACACTCACAGATCTGCTTAAATTTCCTAGTCTGCCTCCTATCAAAACCAAGAAAGAGGTCCCTTTTATTTAACTGTTCCAACAACTTTTCACCAGGATTATTACACTCCCATGCAAAAGAACACTAATAATGACATTGGATTCGATAATTCCCCTTTTCCATCGTAATAATACTTTATATAAATAAATACACCTAATAAACTCACTAACTCTCAATGCATGAATCTTAGGGAGTATCTTACCCTAAGATTTGCAAAGAGAATACCTTATATAAGATCCTCTCTTTGCAAATCTTAGGGTAAGATACCCCAATTGATGGTCTCAGATCTCTGTTTGTATCTCTCTCTCTAGTCTCTACTACTACTACAAGATTTGACTTGCTTGAGTCTCCTCTCCTCAGATGAAAAAAGCTTATCTTACACTTAAGTGTCACTACCTCCAAGATTCTAAAAAAACCGTAACCCACAAATCTCGCCTTTAAGACACACCATTAAATCCCCCACCCCCAAGATTCAGCTTTCTCCAAATCAAGAAACTTCAAGAACTTGGATCCTGAAATGGCGGGATTCACCATGAGCTTGAACTTGCTTCTACTAGTAGCAATGGTTGCTACAAACATCCTCTCACTCTACCACCTCTCCTCCACCACCAATTTCTTCCAATCCACCGTCAAATCCACGCAAGCCTCTGTTCCCACTGTCCCCGACCACCTCCTCCGTCAGCTTCACACAATTCGCGCCGCCATTAACCACCTCACTACTCACCAACCAGACAAATCAACTTCTACAATCACCTCACGCACCGCCGCGTCCTCCTCCTCCTCAGCACCTAAAGAGCTTCTCATCTACTCTAAGCTCTCGCCTATAGCTTCTTCTTGCCATAACTACCCTGACTTACTCCATGAGTATATGAACTACACTCCTTTCTCTCTTTGTCCTTCTGACACCGATCTCGTCGAGAAACTCATCCTCCGTGGCTGCCACCCACTTCCTCGCCGCCGTTGCTTCTCCCGAACGCCGCGGAATCCGTCAGATTCGAAACCTGAGTCTAATGTTATCTGGTCTTACTACTCTTGCAAAAGCTTCGATTGTTTGGTTACTAAATTCCCCGATCTAGGGTTCGATCTCTCGTTGGAGAAATCCAAATCTCAGTTCTCTGTTTACAAATCCGAGCTCGATTTACCGATCTCGCAGCTTCTCCAGATCGCTAAATCCGCCAATTCCGTTCTCCGTCTCGGGATCGATGTCGGCGGTGGGACTGGTTCTTTCGCCGCGGCGATGAAGGCTCGTAACGTTACGGTTCTGACAACGACGATGAATTTCAATGCGCCGTATAGCGAAGCGGTGGCGATGAGAGGGTTAGTGCCGCTTCATGTGCCGTTACAGCAGAGGCTCCCCGTGTTTGATGGAGTGGTGGATTTGGTTAGGTGTGGAAGAGCGGTGAACCGGTGGATTCCGGTGACGGTTATGGAGTTTTTCTTCTTTGATTTGGATCGGATACTTCGTGGCGGTGGTTATCTTTGGTTGGATCGGTTCTTTAGTAAAAAAGTTGATCTTGAGAATGTTTATGCTCCGATGATTGGGAAATTGGGTTATAAGAAGGTGAAATGGGCGGTGGCTGATAAAAAAGATTCGAAACATGGTGAAGTGTTCTTGACGGCTCTGCTTCAAAAGCCTGTTGCAAGATGATGAATCCTTTTTTTTTGTGAGGTAAATTGTGAATTTGGAGTTTGAGTTCAGTCCTCATGTTTTTGCTCTGTTTGATCAAATGCTCTTAACTTTGGAGAATTGTTTGATCAAAATCATATATGGTAGTTTGAGTTTACTGTAGATGGATGTGTGCTCTTTATTGCTTTGAATAGTACGTACCACTTTTGTTGCACTTTGTGGAACTTTGCTTTTTGGTTTCCTTCTAAACAAGAGATGCTAAAATTCTAAGAAGTAGGAGAAGTTGTAGCTTGTTCAAATCCATATATTGCGATAAGTTCTGAAGCTTGTTTCTGTATTACCGAAACTGCTCTTAGTCATTTACAGTCTCAGGGAACTTAGATATTGTGTCTTTGTTTGGTCTGTAAAGAGGTCTAGTGTCTGATGTATTGGCTAGGCCTGATCCAAAGTTGTGGGTTGTTTTTTGCAGGACACATTCCTCGAGTTTATGTTTGTAGCATACAGCTTACTCTTGTTGTTAAAGATTTGGAAGATAAGAACTCATTGACAAATCCAAACAAGAAAGCTTTTTTCCACTGCTGTAAGCACACACAAGTAACGATGTTATTTATGCAAAACAAGAACTAGGGAATTATTAAGCCAAGATTTGATCTATTGTTGTTAGAGAGAGAGACTGATTAAATGGTGGTATACATAAATTATGGTGTCTTCTGCGCATTTGTTTCTGTGGTAGCTATTATGCATTCATATCATTCTTAGTATGGTAATTATTTGTGGAAGGCAGAGAAGTTTCGGGGTTATGAATGTTGTTTACTTTATAAATTTTTATACTGATAAGCATGTAAATACTTTTTCTTCGCCATAATCCATTTGTTACCAAACCATAGCCATGCCCCCAAGACTTGGCTTGAGACCGCGCGAATCCCGATTCCGAACTTGAACCTCAACCTGCACGTTGTTTTGCTTTGCACTCCACAAAATATCTTATAAATAGCACAATCAAGATGAGCTCGTACTCTCTTAATTTACTCTATCCAAATTCAAACAATCAAAGGAAGTAATACATGATTTTGCATGATCAAGATTTATGCCTTGATCTTGTTTCACTCTAGGTCTTTAACTAAGCTCAATAAAGTCTATAGGTAGAACCCACCCAAGCGAGCTTATCATGTCCCATAGAGGAGACATTAACTACTTGCCTTACCGACATTTTTAACATACTCTCCTGCCACAATAATAATGGGGGTAAATACATAATTAATGATAGTTTGGTATCAAATGTATTAGGAGTTAGAAAATATGAGGACTAAATTGTAAAATTGAGTAGAGATGTATATGATGATTATGTGGTCGCGTCTCAGAAAGGTTAGCGACGGTGTTAACTTGTAAAGCTGTAATCGTTCTTTTCCTGAACATAGTCGTGTTTCTGAGTTTCTCCCAAACAAACTCAAAATTGTAAGAATCGAAGATCAGCTTCGCAATCGAGAAGAAGAACAAGTCTACGATATGGTGAGTTTGATTGATGCTTACCGATTTTGATTCCACTCACAATTTACTTCTTTCTAATTTGTACGCAATCATACAAATTTTCTAGGGTTATCACTTCAAATTCAAAAAAAAAAATCGTGATTTTAGAGGATTAGTAAATATTATGATGATCGTTAGCTTATAGACATCTCACCTCTGTTTCAGTTTTGATTGTTGATTAAAGTTAAAGGTCTAAAATTTAAGCTTGAAAATGGTTTGTTAAATGGTGATCATAGGATGAAAGAGATCGAGAAACTCGTGGTTCTCACGGTGATTCCGATGCTGGTAATGTCGTTGTTGATCAAAGCATAAAGGATATTAGAGAAGATGATTCTGGCTTATGTGATGGCTTTGTTGAAGAGAGCAAAACACTGGAACCGGATGATCAAAAGCGCGGTAAATATTTTTTCTATGACACGCCGCTTTCTGAAGAAACCGGGGTTTGGATACCTGTTTCAGTCCCGCCCATGTTAGAACCTGATCATGAGGAGTGGTCAAGAGGCCTTAGTTTCAATGGTGGGTACTTCCCCGAAGGAGATATGGGATGGAACCAGATATTTGATGAAGACAAGGAGTTAACTATGTGGGATGTGATAGTTGATATGTTGCTTGCGGCACGTGGTAAAGCGAGTGCTCTTAGTTCTGGCAATCTTGAGACATGTGGCATTAATTTTTTGTCCGGACATCTTCTTGAACAAGCTTGGCAAGAGATGGCTCATACTCTCACCGAGGCTAACTTTGGTAACGCAAGAGAAATTCTGGAAACTGAGCCACCCAAGTGGCTACCAGATAGTGCCGCTTCTGCGTGTATGCTATGTAGTGTGAGGTTTCATCCAATTATGTGTTCCCGTCATCATTGTCGATATTGTGGAGGAATATTCTGTAGGGACTGTTCTAAAGGAAGAAGCTTGGTTCCTGCAAAGTTTCGTGTTTCAGATCCCCAAAGGGTTTGTGATGTGTGTTTTGTGAGGTTGGAATCTGTGCAGCCTTATTTGATGGACCAAGTTAGTCCTGCTGCTCAGTTGCCAACCCATGATTTGACAGATCTTAGTACATTGAGGTCTTGGGTGAATTTTCCATGGGGACAATCCATGGAGTATGAGATTTATAAGGCAACAAACACTATTCGGGGTTATATAACCAAGGTGAGATTTGTGGGTCCTGAGCTCACTATCAACTATTTTAATTTGTGAGCATTCTTATATGTCAATTATATCACTGCGTAAATGCCTGGCTAGTCTCTGTCCATGAAATATCTGGAATTCTAATAGCGGTGTGCGTGTCTTTAATTTGAAAATATCTTAATCTCAACAGGTTGGTTCTTCAAGAACTGAGAGGTCCATCCCAGATGCTATTTTAAGACAAGCAAAAGGTCTTGCAGTAATCACTGTTGCCAGAGTTGGAGTTATGGTTACATATAAAATTGGGACTGGACTTGTGGTTGCTCGTAGAGATGATGGCTCCTGGTCTCCACCCTCCGCCATTTCTTCATTTGGTTTGGGATGGGGTGCTCAGGTAACGTAGCTCTTTTAGTAATCAGTAGATATTGCAAATAGTGTTTGGTCTATATTCTCATCACTCACCTGTAGGCAGGAGGAGAGTTTATAGACTTCATTATCGTTCTGAGAACTCGTGAAGCCATCCAAACGTTTGGGAGTAACACCCATCTAGTTGTTGGAGCTGGTTTAAGCGCTGCAGTTGGTGTGACTGGACGAGCAGTTGAAGCGGATATCCGAGCAGGTAGCGGTGGATATGCTGCTTGCTATACCTACAGCTGCAGCAAAGGTAACCATCTGATTCATGTGTCTCTAGCCAAAATAGTTTTTAGTAGCTTAATTTTGGTTAATGGATTTTAGACTTTTCCCTTCCATGTCTAAAACGAGATTTTATAGACCACTATAGGTCTGAAACCATTACAATAATTCTACTAAAATCGTTTGTTAAACTAAGCCTCATAATTAATCTGTATATCCTTCTTTAAATGAACAGGTGCATTTGTTGGATGCTCGCTTGAAGGAAGCATCTTCACGACACGTACAAGTGAGAATTCACGGTTCTATGGGAGCCAATCCCTAGCTGCGTCGGACATCCTCCTTGGCTCTTTGCCAAGACCACCTGCTGCTGCTGCTCTCTACCGTGCGCTAGGTGATCTGTATCAGAAGATGGGGAGGTGATTTTAACACAGTTGAAGGGAATTTGTAATACTGACTTTAATGATGGAAAAGATATTGACCTGGAAAATTTCTTGTTGGTGTGCAGTGAAACTGTTCCGTCTCCGGCAATTCCTTCGTTGTCTGAAGACTGAACTTGTTGAATTCATCTCTTAGGAAGAATGACAACAATCCTGTATATAGATTCATGCAATTCTTGAATGTACATAGTTTATGGAGGTTTGGATAGTTTGTGCCTTTGTGGTTGTAAATAAAACATATATAACATTATGGTATATCTAAAATTATAAATTGTTCCGGAATGAATGATACCTGTTACAAACTTAAAGCCACTGCCTCATTTTATGGGTTTGAGATTTTGGTTTACAAGAACCACATACGCAGAAGGAACATTAATCTCTCTATCATTTTGTTCTCATCCTACATAGATTTATAGCTCGCGTAAACTTCACAGAGTTTTAAGACCAACACATCCCAATAAAGAGCTCAAGATGCTTATTTATGTCGAACTCTGAAGTAGTCTTTTACTATGTTTCTTTAGCTTGCAGAATTCATTTCAATTCCATTTCATTTGGCAACTTTCTTCTTCCTCAGAAGATCTTCCACTTGGAGCTCGTTGATCTTAGCAGCAAGAATGAAGTCGTTTTCCGTCAAACCACCTGTTGCAAGAAAATCCAATATCACTTAAGACTTAGTCTGCACTAGCAACTTATAAAGTTCACAAAATAAATAGTTGTCGGATGAGGGGCTTCTTAAGGTTCAGGCAATTGATATGATTCATATCTTCATATCAACAACAAAGACTATGATTCTCACCTATAGCATGTGTCCATATCTCGATTTTCACATTATTCCAGCCGACCAGATGCAAATCTGGGTGATGACCTGCATCATACCAGTCCATGCGTGAGATAAAACAGTAACAGGTCTTCCTTGAGCTATCTTTTTAAAATCTTATTCAGAAGGGTCACAGAACACGTGTGATGTATTGCTGATGATTTATATACCTTCTGATTCAGCAATATCAGCTACACGTTTGAAGAAATCTAGCCCCTTTGTAAAACTTTTCACTCTCCAAGACCGATGCAGCTTTAATGTATCATTTTCATTGGCTAAATCCCATCCAGCAACCTGTGTAAAAGGAATAATTGAGGAGGGATGCATACCATATACCTCACCAGCCATAACAAGAAATACTAACATATTACATTTTGAAGTAGATCCTGGGCACTTTGTTCAGTCATGGGGCGCAGATCCTTCGAATTGCATGGCACACACTTTTTGGCTAATAAATCTAAGAACCAAAAATATAAAATCAGAATACCATATTAGTGAAAAAGTTACACACTTTAGGAGTTTTTGATTACATACGCTGAAGAAAATAAATATCAAATCCATATTTTAACCAATTGGGTGAAGAAGTTGTTCATGAGGGCAGTAACAAGGAAATCATAGCAATCTCCACCAAAACTTTAGAAACAACATGAAAAAAAAGTTGAAATTTACTGTAATACACCAGAAAACTACCTTAGCTAAGGCCTATGATATGACAAACGATATGTGAAGGATGATACTGATACTTAAAGTCTATCTAGTGTAACTTTTGTCTTTCCATTGAGTTACACAATGGACGAATGACACTTATCTGAAACATATTCTTCCTGACTTGTCATCATCTTGCCTCTAATTCACCACGGATTTATCTAAAATAGAGATGGAAGACTCTAAGGAGTCTCCAATAGAAGTTGTTCTACTAATACAGAGGTGAGTTAACATCATTTGCTGGTTTTACATTACAGAAAAAGCTCCGGCTGCCTAATATAATTTCTCTATAAGAGGACATATGTTCGCCACATACAATACAGAACTTAATTAAACGGGTTCATATACATCAAACCTCTACAAACACAAGCAAATTTTGATTCAAATATCAAGTTGTAAAGCAGCTGGAGTAACTAATTTTCTACCTTCTAGGGAGCAAAATGTTCTAGCTCCAGAAGCAGAAACACCAGTTGTGGATGATCTTACACCATCGTGTGACATGTCACTCATCCAATGAACAAAGCTGCAAGAAAAATCGCCAAAAAATTCATCTTTACATGCCAGGACTTGTGCAAATCCCAGAGAAACTTGTCCTCTATATAACTCAATCAGATGGAGAATAACATCAAATACAACAAAAGTAATGAACTTGTTCATTTACATATGATCAAAACTCAGGCTACACAAGAAGCTCTAGGTAGGTATAAAACAAAACAGTTAATTCGATTTCACTTGTTCAGATTCAAACCACAACAACAACAACAAAAATCTGAAAGATAAACACATATCCAACCCAGTTTAAGTATTAAAACCAATTTCAGAATCATTACCGTCTGTCACGTCCGTACAGATTATGGAACAATGATGCAGCTGGAACCTAAAAAGTGATCACACACAAAACAAATGTGAGAGGTAACACACGCAAATCCTGATAATACACACATACAACGAAGAAAGAGAGATAATTTGGTTAACCTGTGTTCTAGAGAATAAGAAAAGTTTAGGAAGCAAAAGCCGACTCATTGGTGTCGCAGCGATTGCGGAACAGAGAGACTTCCGGTGAGAGTTTTATGAAAGTGATGGGTGTTAAATGTAACAATTCATAAGTCTATGGCTAAATATGTAAGAATCTAAAACATAAGGAGCTAAAATATGTGAATACTTTGACGCGCGTCTCTTAAAGCCGCTATTTGCTTGTAGAGTATTCCTAATTAGGGTGTAAAGAGAAAGAACAAATATATTAAAAAGTGTCAAGAAAAATAAAATGAAAAGTATTCCTTTATCAGTGTGGTTGCGAACTCTGTAAGAGTTGAGGATTTGGTATCTTCAGAACAGATATACAACTGCGTCTATGGTGAGATTTGTTGTTTATTTTTCTTGGAGATGTTTCATGTTTCTTAAGTTAGAGAATCACATTTGAACTAGAAATCCTCTATATACCATTGAGAAATCACTTTTTATGATCTTTATCAGTTTGGATTCGTGTCTCTTAACTTATCTCAGTCATCTTTATCTTTGGATTATATATTTCCTTTGTGTTGAACTTGATAATTTCTAATTATGAATTCTGGGTTTCTACCAAAACCCTTACTAGAGGTTACTTTAATTGAAACATACGATTTGTATGATGATAAAGATATTCGATCTTAAACCTATAGTTTCTGAATTGATGATATTCCGTACACTAATTCTGTTTCTTGCATGTAGTTTTCTAGTATTTGTTGATTTGCAGTTTTTGGCGCTCCTGTTATATTTGCTGCTTTGATTTCATACAATGAAAGTTTTAAATTATATGTCTTAGATGCTGATGTGAATGATGATTTTTGATACATGCAGTAGAAGAAGCTGTGGTAGGTTTTATATTTGATTTGACCATGGTTGAAAACGGGGAGAATCATTCAGTTTCTCAAGAGAGCAAATCCAACAAGGCTGACAGCAAAAACCATTCAGGTGTTCCCAAGAGTGATCTTTGGACTGATGGGATTATTTGCGCCTTTGAGTTTATCCGAGGCCCGAAAAAACATGTTGACTCGAAACATCCGGACAAAAGTTGCTTGAAGCATGAAGATGGACTAACCAGACATGCTTCCCCTGGTCATAACCCGTTTGTTGATTCTTCTCCCGTCGATATATCAAGGTCGAGGTCGGTACCTTCTTTGGATTTGAAAGAGGCTCATGTGCTTCATGAGAGATATGAAGGGAGTCATTGGGTTCCTATTGGCTGGACTAGGATATCTGAACTTGTTCAAATGGTTCAAGTGAACGCTGAGTGGCCTAACTTGGAGTTAATTGATGATGAAGAGGATGTCCCTGTTACTGATTTAGCTGCTCCGTACTGGGAACGACCAGGTGGCCCTACATGGTGGTGCCACTTGGCCGCCGGACATTCTTTTGTCGAGGGATGGCTTAGATGTGCTACATGGTTGCATCCTGCGATTAGTCTCGCATTGAGGGATGAAAGTAAGCTAATAAGTGAACGGATGAGACACCTTCTATATGAGGTATATGTCCCTTGTTTCCAATCAAAACATGCAAGCTGAGTGTTTACAGTCAACAGGCAGACTTGTTCAAAACACTGCCGTTATATTGGTTTTTGATAGGATAAAAAGATGTATGATGGTCTCTTAACATAATAAAGTTTTTCATGTTACTTGAATGGATTATTACAGTTTATATCATGTTTTTTGGTGGATGTTTTGTCTAATTTTTATTCCGATTAATTTGCTTAGGTTCCAGTGAGGGTTGCTGGGGGTTTATTGTTTGAGCTCTTAGGACAATCAGTCGGTGATCCAGTAATCAGTGAGGATGATGTACCTGTTGTATTTCGCTCTTGGCAAGCAAAAAACTTTTTGGTATCTGTGATGCACATAAAAGGAAATGTATCAAATACTAATGTTCTCGGCATCACTGAAGTAGAGGTTTGTTTTTGAAACTGTCAAAATGTTCTACTTGATAAGTTTTTAAAGCTTAAATATCATAGGCCTGCAGTTACTAACATACGTTAAAAAAAAAAAAAACTTTTATATTATAGGAGTTGCTTTATGCAGGAGGATATAATGTACCAAGGACGATTCATGAAGTCATAGCACACTTGGCTTGCCGTCTTTCTCGATGGGATGATAGGTGACGAGAGACTTCTGATTTATCTTTTCTTCAATTAAGACTTGTCTAGTTTTGCTGCCCAAACAAGCGACTTGCTTTCTATATATATAATGTTATTTTCTAGACTGTATCTAACTAGATCTTTTTGTTTTCATTGATTGGTGATAGATTGTTCCGTAAATCCATATTTGGTGCGGCGGATGAAATCGAATTGAAGTTTATGAACAGGTTCTTACATATACATATCCATTTTTTTGGGCTGATAAACAATACATGTTTTGGTAACAAACTCTATCTTTTCTTGTTATTAGGAGAAACCATGAGGATTTGAATCTTTTCAGTATCATTCTCAACCAAGAGATCAGAAAGTTATCAAGACAGGTCATCTTCTATTTTAATGTAGCTAACCTCAATACAAATTAAATGGAATATGACTATTCTTTTGTTGGCAAAGCCTCTTTTGATGTTATAATTGAGACAGAATGTGTACATGTTGGACAAATTGAACGATAGTCATGAACGTGAAGTCTTTGTTTTCTCATGGCAGGTCATCCGAGTGAAGTGGTCACTACACGCAAGAGAGGAGATTATCTTTGAGCTTCTTCAGCATCTAAGGGGAAACATACCTCGACATTTGTTGGAGAGTCTGAGGAAGAACACAAGAGAAATGTTGGAGGAACAAGAAGCGGTCCGTGGACGTCTCTTCACAATTCAAGATGTTATGCAAAGCAGTGTTCGCGCTTGGTTGCAGGTTCTTCCTAGACCTCGAACTAAATTATCATTGTATGACTCATACATCTAGCATAATGGATCTCTTTGGCTAAAAACCCAATTTACACTTTCAGGACAAAAGCTTACGAGTAAGCCACAACTTGGCCGTCTTTGGAGGATGCGGTCTTGTGCTTACTATAATTGTAGGACTGTTTGGGATCAACGTTGATGGTATCCCAGGGGCGCAGAACACGCCTTATGCGTTTCTTTTGTTCACTATCCTTATGCTTCTCATTGGAGGTGTTTTGATTGCGGTTGGTCTGGTGTACTTGGGGCTTAAACAACCCATCACAGAAGAACAAGTGGAAGTTAGAAAGCTGGAGCTACAAGATGTGGTCAAGATATTTCAACACGAAGCAGAGAGTCATGCCCAGCTCCGGAGAAACAACCTCTCTCCTACAGCTGGAGATATATTTGATGCTGATTATATTCTCATCCAATAAACAAACTCTGAATCAGTTTTTGTATTGATAATACTAATTTAAGATGATACTTGTCAATTGCCATATTGTTGTTTAAAGGATATAAAATTGTCGGAATCATTGAGATAACAAAAGCTCTTAAGACTAGGTCTCTGTTAAATATCTATGTGCAATCATCTTTTTCTTTACCATTTGACCATATGTTCATGTATTCCATGTGATGCGAGCCACAAAAATTAGAGGCTGAACTTGCTTCTAGGTTTGCAAGCAAACGAAGGGCTTGCTACAAGTAATGTTGTGTGCTCCGAGACAAAAGATGACTGTTGTGTGATTGTAATGTTCCATGATTCTAGACCCATCATACGGGGCAAATCATTCAGTCACCGCCTGGTGGTGTTTATAGCAGTATTATGCATCATGAACATTAGTCAAAAGAGAAAAACAAACAAACGAAAACTAGTGGTTGACAATGACTGTCTTTATGAACTCCATAACTGTTGTAACTAGTTGACTTAGATGTTTGGTATAACAATGATCAGCTCCTTCCAGAATCTCCAGCTTGTGGTTGTGTATGATCTTCTCAAACTCCTTGGCGTCTTCCCAGGGTATTATTTCGTCAGCTGATCCATGAACCGTCAAGACCCTGCCACCATTTCAATCAATCATGGTTTCTTCATAGTCCAAAAACTCGGCGAATCAATCTTACCTGCATTCTTTGTCAATCTTGAGGCAAACTTCATGCATATCAGTGTTTAGCCTTTCCATTAAGCTCTCCTTAGTAACACGATACTTGATATTATCTGTGTAACAGACCAGCACATTAAAACAAAAGACACACTAGATTACTTATCTGAGACTGTAGAGAGATAACATTACATTCTTCAGCATCGATGTAACCCTGTTGCGTAATTCTTTCCAAATAATTTTCACCAAGACGCATTACTAAGCTTCTCTTGAGATCAGAATATCCGGAGAGATTGATCACATTGCGGATATCATGAAACCTCGAGGCATAGACAAGGACCACATCACCTCCTATATATAGATATGCAATATATGCAATGTCAAAATATATAGTTTTGAGATTCTTGCAATTGTCAGATTCACACCCCTTGTGTTGTTACCTTTACTGTGGCCGAGAATTATAGGAACCACACGGTTCATGTTGGTAAAGTATTGGATAACAGAACGTAGATCATCAGCTTCATAGTTGTAGTTACCAAAATAGAAACTGCCTTCACTCTCTCTGCATTCAACAATAACCCCTCAAAGATCTCTAAACAAAATCCAAATTCTCTCATTCATTTATGCAAAAACAATGATAAAGCAAAGCAAAAGAAACACACCCATTCCCAGAGAAATCAAAACGGTAAGCACTGATCCCTTCTTTTTCTAAAGCAGCAGCAATATTTTTGGTGACTGGATCATTCTGCATAAGTTCATAACCCAAAGGACAAGTTCATTCATGTGAGAACTCCTTTGGCCTACAAATCACTAAAATGGTCAACTAAATCATTAATGAATCTTTATAAGCTACTTGAGTGAGTTTATTAATGAATCTTACAGAACACAAAGTGGTTTATAATTGAGAACTGAATCAAGTCTCAAAATCTCAGTAGTTCCACAAGAGATCTGAGAATGAGACAAAAACTAACCTTGTTTGATAGGAAACCATGGCACAAGACCACAACTTCAGTAGAACCAGTTTCATGAAGCAGACCGACCAGCTTCTCGTTGTTGCTGTTGGGAATCACAATCTTCTGTATACTAGCAGCTGAGCTTCCCTTAGACGAATCCATTCTCAACTTTGTTTTCTTAATTTTTTGTAAGAGATTTGTAACAACAGGGGTAGCTAAGGTTGAAGATGGATAACATAAATTTAATGCAATTTATGGGAAAAAAAAAATAGCCAAAAACAGGAAGGTGGTATTTTTACCTCAGTGATTATGGATGATGACATATTATAATTTCAAATTTAATTATTAATTAATTATTATTGATTTGGATGGAGGTAGGGGGTAAAATGTTGAAATCAGAAGTTTATGGTTATTATTAGTAAACATAAAAATAGATGGGGGAGAATATGTAAAAAAGAGACGGACTGTGATATGAAGCGCGTCTAACAAAAGCTACGTTTGGGTTTTTGAAGCATTTCTCCTTTGAGAGAGAGAGAGAGAGCTCTGTGTTGGCTTTTTGAGGTGAAGGCGCGATTTCGATTTAGGATACCAAAGGAAAGAGACGAACACTGCTCCGATGGTGAGATTGATATCTCCAATGTTATTTACGCGTCTTTCAATTATCTTTTTTCTCTGGGAAACTCGAAATTTTCTTAGGGTTTTTGGGGAATTTTCTCTACGAGGTTATGCCTAAGTTAGAACGTAATTTGAACAATTATACGTGATTGAAACTGGGTTCGCTTTAATTAGATTCAATCTTTAGTTGGGACAACCTTGTGCAAAGTATCAGTACCAAGTTTGATAGTTTAGAGATTTGATATTCCATGATGGTTTGAATCAGTATAAGTGGATCTGCTTGAGTTTTTTAATTTATTTTTGAATCTGTCTTGTTGTTTGAATAGGAGTGTGATTCCATGTTTCATCATAGATTTGTAAATTATTTCCTTTGGATTCTGTTGCTTTTTGCACACTGATCTACTTGTTGATTCGGTTTCCGTCAAAGGATTCTTTTCTCCATTTCATGGTTTTTGAGCTGTAGTAGCTTTAGTGTAATCAAATCATTGCATTCCCTTTGATATAATAATACTCATCTCTATCTGGTTACTTTCATTGCACACTTTGGCATTATTTGAGTTTTATTTTGTTTATATCTAGTCGATTGTTTTCTTTGTTAGATTAATCTTCAGTTTTTGTGGCACTGCATTGTTATGTTTATATCTGCTCTTTTTACTTCCTGATGTGTAGGCGGATCCTGAACTAGAAGCTATTAGACAGAGGAGAATGCAAGAGCTTATGGCTCGACAAGGCATGGTAATTTTTACTACCTTACTTGATATCTGATTTTCTTTTTTAAAAAACCGTTTACTTTTGTGCCTTGTTTCCCTTTTGAGATCTTCACGAAACTGTATAATTTATCAGGGTAAGCAGCAGAATCCAGAGCAAGAGAAACAACAGGATGATGCTAAAAGGTGTTTATCGTTGTGTATTAGTTGACATGAATTAGCTAACGTATCATTGGAATTCTAGTTTTGAGCTAACGTATTCTCTGATTGCGATGTTTGTGTAGGGAAGCTGATGAACGTAGACAGATGATGCTCAGTCAAATATTGTCTTCTCAAGCACGAGAGAGAAGTAAGTCTCATCTAATATGTATTGGAGTTCATCTAGTTACTCTACCCTTATTCTTTATTATGTCAATTAATGTGATGATCTTCCTAAGCTCGAGAGAGACACAATATTTTGTTTTTTATATATCTTTGATGGCTCTTTTTCTTCCTTTTTTCCTCTATAGTTGCTCGAATTGCCCTGGTAAAACCTGAGAAAGCTAGAGGTGTTGAGGATGTTATTTTGAGGGCTGCTCAAATGGGACAGATAGTTGAAAAGGTAAACAAGATCCATACACTTTTCCATGTCATATTTTTAAACTTTTACTACGTATGATCTGGTTCTACCCAATTAAGAGTCAGTGAGTCTGAGTAAGTGTGATGCATCTAAGAGTTATTGAAATACTCTGTTTGCTTTACAGGTTTCTGAGGAGAGGCTTATAACACTGTTGGAACAAATAAACAGCCAAACTACCAAACAAACGAAAGTCACGGTAAAGACAAGACAAAACTTACAAAAACAAGAAGTTATTAAAATATATCTTACCTTAACCATCAACATCATTGAGTTTAATAAGTTAATCTCGGATGTGTTTACAGATCCACAGGCGCCGTGGGGTGGATGACGATTAGGAAGAAGAACATCATGCTGTACTTTGCACAGCCATCTATGGTTGGTGAGTGCACTAAGAACATCTTAAAATGTTGCTGTTAAATATGTTTATTGTGAGTGAATCTTTGATGATTTTCCAGATGCTTGAGATGAGATTTTCAAAGTAAAACTGAATGAAAAAAAAACACTCTGCATTCTTATATATGGGCATATCCTATGTGAATCTTTCATCTTCCTCTCTCTATTCGCATTGCCTGTTAAATGATATTGATATGAATATTATTAGAAAAAACACTGATTCTGTTCTAATTCTACTTGTTCGTAATTTTGGTGCTATTGCTACTACTGATTCATGATTTGCTCAAGTCATTAGCTTCTTTTTCTCGATAAAATAGAACAAATGCTCTAGTTTTAAATTTGAATGCTGCTAGAAAGGAGGACACTGTAACCAAATACATAGATGTATGCAAATGTAAGACTTGGTCTCTCAAAAACAATTAACAGAAGAAAAAATAATAAAAGCTCTTACTACATAGTTCACTTTGACACTCAAAACTAAAGTGGGTAGTTGTTCACTTCAAAAGAATCGAAGAGAAAGGTTTCGTCGTCGTCGTCGTCGTCGTCCTCCTCTTTTTCAAAAGGTTTATTTTCGAAACAATAATATTGTTGGAGATCATGAAGTATTTTAGAGTCCGTAGATACAAATCGAGACTCGTCGTGAGTTCGACCATAGAAGATGAGAGTCATATATATATATATATATTTCATCATCATCATTCGATCAATATGTAGCCAGCCTAACGTATGACGCAGTTCTACAATGATGAAGTGGCTACTTTGAAAATTTAATAAACTGTTAAAAAATTTAAAATATGCAAAAGTGTGTTACGGTCCGTACAATTATTAATCAGATTATATATATGAAAACAAAAATTATAAACGTAAAGACTTTTTCTTCTTTCTTAAATAAATACAGTAGTGCTTATCAGAAAATGACATTAGTGGAGTGGATGTTGAAACTTTAAAAAAATCTCGAATTCAACTGAGCTTAAACGTTGACTTTTGACTTTTGAATTTTATTACACTCATTGGATTTCTGTATTTCATTATTTTTCCTAATACTTTTTTTTTTGTCGGCTTTTGTTATGTTCATAATATGAACTTCATATTATTATCTCATACAGTATATATCATATATATACTATGCTTATATAGTTATATATAAGCATTTTAATATTTGATTCAATTACAAAAGTTTAACTTAGTAAAAAAATAGTTTTATGATATTAAAGTGTAATAAAACAGTCAACAAATTATCGATTCTTTTTTAGAATGAGAAACGTGAGATACGTGGACATGTAAAAGAAGTAAATGATAATGTTTAGAGCTGATGAGATCTCGAAGATGAAATAAGATTTGACATTTACCAATTAAAATAGAGAGCTATTATTACCAAACACAGTACCTACCTGCTCTGAACGTCGAAACATATTCATAACTTTATAATTAGTGTCACACTCACTCTTCAACTAGAAACTATAATTGACATTAGTGGTTCCTTTTTAATATTTTCTTCTTCTCAAACTGATATGAGATGTGTAGTTTTTGCTCAACGTTCTTAAGTTCATGTTTTCTTTTTAGTTATATAATTGAAACTGATAGTGTATAGTTTTGAATCGATAGAGCTCTCTATTTACGTACATCTACTTGTGAAACTAAATATATATCACACGACATATATAGAAAATTTCAAAAAAAAAAAAATGTATTTAGTGATTCATTTGATAGATTAGTTATTTTCCCTATAATTAAATACACATGTTTGTCTATAAAACAAATTAGAACTCAGAACTAATATGAATTTATATGTAAAATCATTTATGATAATAGTCAACGGGTGAAGAGAAAGCGACAAGAACGGTGCAAGTGTCTCCACAAAAATTTTATACCTATGAATTAATCTCGTACTATTTTGAATTTTATTATGATAATCTATTATGAATTTTTAGATTAATAAAAGTTTTCTAGAAAGAAAGATAATAACTAAATAAGCCGAAACGTCTAATTGACTAATCAAACACCTTTGGTTCTGTCATAATCAAGTAATCGACAAAAGTAACTAGAAATGCTACGTACGTACGTACACAAAACTCCGATTATAGTGCTTTAATTGACAAAACGAAAAGCTAATGAATGAATGCTTTTTTTTGGCTCCTTCATCCAAAGAAGTGGAACCTGTTCCCACCTGAACACTTTTGGGTAAAAGAATGCTATATACTTTGGGTTTAACCCTTTTTAAGGTTAGTTACTTATACTTGTACTTAAACAATTATAACAACACGAATGTGATTAGTGTGTTCGAACACTTCAATTCGACCTCTCACATAGTGATTAAAAATACAATCAAGACTTTAAAGTATGCATCACTACTATAGTGATGATTAAATATCAAAGCGGCAATTATAGACTTTAATTAAGAAACCAAGGACCAAATACATTAAAAAACAAAAAACAAAAAAGAATTTAAGGACCAAAATACATAACATGACATAGGGCTTTGGTCATCATGGATCATTCATCAAAGGCATTAAAAAAAGGAAGAGCAAGTAACATGCACGACTTTGCTGACCCTAATGGTCAAAGACATTGCCATTTCCTTCCACGTTACACGTCTCTTCTTTGCCTTTTTACGTTTCTAAAGATTTATAGAAATGTTATCATATGGTTAGTACATTATTGTGTTCCGAATCTCAAATAATGCTAAGAGTATAATTAATCTTTTGGTCCAAATATCATTTGCGTATGAGAATGTTACTTGCTATTATTTGATCCAATCATAGATTCGTTTTCTACATACTTTATCAGGATAAGATTAATGTTTAAGACTTGTCTTGTTGAAGTATATATATAATGAAGAAAGTGAAGTTCTTGCTTTGAAGGACGTTGACTGTTCACAAGACAAGTTGGTCTTCGCTGACTTTGAATCAACAACAATAATGTAGCTCCAAAAGCAAGGGGTATATATATTTAATTTCTAACAAAAATAAACCATTATCTCTTTGGTAGAACACTTATTTATATATGAAAGAGATTAGCTATCTTTTCTTTTTATGGAGGTTATTTGTAATAATTAACTAATATTATATATAAAGGATTTCTAGAGAGACGCAAAATGAAAACTTTTTTTTGTGTGTAAAATAATCACTCGTTGCGTGTGTGTTTATGCATATTAGTATATGATTCGTTATAATTCACCAAGAAAGTTTGCTTTTGACGAGTGCAAAGATGTTGGAAGTAGATGTAAATTGTCTACATTGCCTTTATACATTTGACCTCTAGCTATTTATCTTTATTTTTAATATACCTCACTAGGACTTCTAGCTACGTAAATATACTTCTTAAAAATCTAATCATTTGCACACAAAAACAAAAAAATCATCTAATCATATGTGCATTACACATATATTTAGACCTCAAATTCTACTATGACATAGTTAATACATGTACCGTGCGTGTGATTTTTGTACTAAACCTTATTAATGTATATGGATTCCATTTTACGAAAGATATCGTTGATTGATTCATTTGATCGATTTAATTTATATATATCATAAGTTAACAAATAAAGAGAGAACAAAACGATTGAAAAGAAAGAAAGCCAAAGCATAGTGTGGTAGATAGGATTAGAGATAAATATATAGTTAAATGTTTCCTTTATAGAAACCACTCTTTTTTTGTTAGATGGCTATCTAGCTAATTAAAATATTAAGTTGAAATTTTCAAACCTATCTTTTTCACATACACAAAGATATTTTAGCAAATATAATACCCACTAAAGTCTTCAAAGATTATGACCCTTTTAAACTTTCCAATATCTCCCTCTTAAATTCTTTCAAATTATTTTGTATTTCACATTGTAGAGAGACTATAATTTCGAATTACGTACATTAATATTATAATTCGGTTATTTTGTTTATTATATGATTAATTAAGTGTTGGAGAAGCTATTTTAATTATCTTAAGACCAATATACATATATGTATGCTCTCCAAATGATATCGCTCCAAGCACTTATAATTAAGACCTTAATTGAATATTCAGAACTAAATTAAAGATACCATCGAAGTAAAGTTGAATGGACTTGTATTTATAAGACTTGATCACCCAAAGTCCACATATAACCTAACACCTAAGTTTGAAGAACCAAGTATCTTCCTCTTCTTCTCCTTCTCCGTCTCTTCATCAATGGATGATCATGTTGAGAGCAAGAACACATATTTAGAAGAAGCGTCCTTCACGAGTATAACTGATTGCTTACAAAGCTCATTAGTGATGGATTATAACTCTCTAGAGAAGGGTTTTAAATTCCCACCTTATGGTTCCCCTTTTCAACCGGTTTCACCTTCCAATATAGGCCATATAGTAAACAACAACCCTTACTTAAATCTTAGTTCGAATTCTCCTATGGTCTCATCTCCCTCTAATGAAGCCGATCCTAAAGAGAACCCCAATGAGGATAACGAAGGAGACCAACATGGTGTTCGTGAAAGTTCCAAGCAAGTGTGAGTTCTTTTTCAACCTTTTACATTTCTTTTTTTTTTTTGATATAAAACCTTTTACATTTCTTTCACTCAATTCCTCTCGCATATTTCTTTTCTTCTTTTTGCGTAACTAGATTCGCTGAACCAAAAGACAGATAATATAATGTGATCAAGCTTACGAAAATCATCAACAATCACTTGATAAAAGAATTAAAAATTTTAGAAAGTTAAAACCCTAGAGATTGATATTTTGTTGTGGATGATGAGTATGGTCAGGACAAAACAAGGTAAAAAGAAAGGAGAGAAGAAAGAGAGAGAAGCTAAAGTTGCGTTTTTGACCAAAAGCGAGATTGATCATCTTGAAGATGGCTATAGATGGAGAAAATATGGACAAAAGGCCGTCAAGAACAGCCCTTATCCAAGGTTCCCTTCCTCACTACCACAGACATTTTATTTACTTTGTCCTTGCATTTACATGTTACGCCATTCGAGTATACATATATAATATATTTATAGATCATCATATCGTAATATATATCTTATATATGTACGTATGCGCTTACAGGAGTTACTATAGGTGCACAACACAGAAGTGCAACGTAAAAAAACGTGTAGAGAGATCGTTTCAAGATCCGTCGATCGTAATAACAACATACGAAGGAAAACACAACCATCCAATCCCTTCGACGTTGAGAGGAACCGTGGCCGCTGAACATCTATTAGGTCACCGTGGTGGTGGAAGCAGTTTCCTCCATAGCTTCCCTCTTCATCACCGTCAAGAGTTTCTCATGATGAAACATCCTCCTGCCAATTATCTATCATCAGTGGGATCTATGTCGAACGATCATGGTCATGGGATGATCTCTAGTTACAATAATAATAATCATCAACCTACAGGTGTTGACTATGGTCTACTTCAGGACATTGTTCCTTCAATGTTCTCGAAGCACGAATCTTGAGTTGAGAGAGGGCATGTACTATATATAGTTCAAAGCTTTATGATCATGATTACACTATAATTTTTGTAAAACATAAATAATTTAGTACTACATATTAGTAGATTCTTAGGTATTTCTGATCTTTTATTTTTATATGCATGTATATATATATATATATATATATATATATATTTCACTGATGACAAATTGACAACCTACTACTGATTATTTGGACTTTTGATTCGTCATTCTTGTAAGAGTTAAAACTTTATGAACGTCTCTAATTAGAGGTATGCATACATGTTTTAGTGCATTTCGTCGTCTTCGTAAATTTGGTATTAATTAGCATGTGGTTCGTCTATTCTGATTATGCATGATGATTTCATTATTGGACAACAAAGTTTGGTAACGTATGTTTTTTATTTGGTTTAAAAGTCTTCACTTTCTTTTCTTTTTTTGGTCGATGGTGGAAATGCAGAAATCGCTGACTATCGGTTACATTAACGAAAACGACTTCATCCCTGAATCATCAATCCCTTCAGACTTCAACCCAAAAATTAACAAGACTTTCTTTTTCATTTTTCTTTTGACAAAGACCGCAATTAAAAGGACCTTGTTTATACAAAGGTGACATGCATATATGCAGAACATGAGTTTTAAGTTCTACCAAAGAAGTGATGTGTATGCATTACAACCAAATCATTCAATGATGGTTTGTTGAACTTAAAATTCCCTCTTTAGTTCGAAATGTAATAAGAAAAACACGAGTAAGGATTATGGTCATGGTGATTGAAAGAGCTAGCTACTCGTCTAATGCAGCAGAAGAGTGGTGTGGGAAGCTTGCCCAAACGTCTTGCCATGTCATCTTCCCCTCTGCGACTGAGCTCACAACTGAAGCTGCCTCCTTCAAGCTGACTCTGATTTGATCTTTGCTGTCTCTTTCTCTGATTGTCACTGATGTCTCTGAGTCCACTGTTATTGCAAATGGCACTCCAAGCTCATCCGTTCTCGCATATCTCTTCCCTATCGACGTACCTATTCACATTCACACAGAGCCACAAATCTTCACTCAGTTTGCCCATTTCAATAGTTAAAAAAAACCTTCGTTTTTCAAATTGTTTTTACGTACCAGTGATGTCAATCTTATGTGAGATACCAACAGAAGCCAGTTCCTTGGAAATAACTTTTGCTGCTTCCTCGAATTGTTGGTTCTGAACAAGCGGGAAAACTGTGCACTTGATGGGAGCTACAAGAGGAGGGAAACGGAACACGTTCAATTGTTCATCCCCTGCTTTGCTTGGCCTTGTGCTGAAACAATGCTCGTACAGACAATATATGATCCGACCAATCCCAAATGATGGTTCAATCACTGATGGAGTGAAAACCCGCTGGTGCTCTTTCTTCTTCTCCTTTGAGATTGACACCATATTCTTCTTGATGGTCACGTTTTTCTTAAGGGTACACACGAAAAACTCCACTTCGCCTTTGGATTCCAGGGTTGCTTTCATCTCCATAGCTTCTTCCTCATTCATCGCCTAACATAAAAAAAAAATATTACATTAAGCATGATATTTATTTTAAACCAGCACCATGAAAAAAAAAGAAGCTATTCAGTAAACAATAGAGTTCAACCTCCAAAGATTCAACCACATTCTTTTGATTTCCCTTGAATGCAAGACCCAGTTCTTTCTTCACAGGTGTAATCACAAGTTTCTGAAATAGAAGATAACCTTAATAGGAGAAGTTATAACGACAAAGAATCAGAGATTAATGAATTTGTACACTAAAGTACCTCTACTTCTTTAGGTTCTGCAAATTTCTCTTCAGCCACTAGGGGAACGCCACTTTTGTCCTGTCGTACAACAGTTGATCCACTTGAGTGAGTTTAAATAGGAATAGTTACAGCTTTTGATCATTAATTATCTATAGCTATCAAATGAAATGATGAAAAAGTAAAGGTGAGGTTCATACAGAGTGAGCACGTAAGTCGTAGGCAGACCTATCTGCAATTCCAACACATTCAATCCACCCATATGAACTCTCAATTTCAGCATCCCAACAATCTGCTGCATAGTGGGCCATTTCATTTGCTAGATGCTGACGGAAGCGCAGCCGTTCCTTGTCTATGCCAAGGCGGGTAAGGAAAAGATATACTCTCCCAATGAAGTATCCTAGAGTTTCATTGTTCACAGTACCCTATACGTATAGGTTTCAGTTGCAGGCATCAATTAGATATAAAAATGGGTGTGGAAGAGAGCTTAGTAAAAATTAAATAGGCTACTATTATTACAAATACTAACCGTAGCAACAGCTTCACCAAGGCAAAGTTTTTTTGCAGACTGGCCAGACATTTGTTCCTCCCTTGGGAACATAAGGAATTCCAGTTTTGCTACATCAGGAAATTTGGGATGCGACTTATTTTCAGGATCAACGAAGTGCTCAATCTCTGCCAGCGTGAATTCACGAACTCTAAGAAGTCCTTGACGAGGAGATATCTGCAAGTAATATGCTACTTATTTAAACTCAGACACAATAGAGAAAATAGTCTTTTAAAGAAGATGAACACATCCCATATATCAAGCAAAGCAATATATTACCTCATTTCTAAAGGCTTGACCAATTTGAGCCGCGGCAAATGGAAGTTTCCTCCCATTGTAATAGTACAGGTCCTTAAAGTTCACAAAGATGCCTTGAGCAGTTTCAGGACGCATGTAACTGAAACACACAAAAAAGGAGTGATTTGATAACAAAACTCAGGAAAGAAAGTAGCTCAGAAACAATTATAACATTTAAAAAACTCACCCAGGAATTAGACCAGATGGGCCAATGGATGTTTGAAACATCAAGTTAAATGGGTAAGGGTCAGAAAGTGGGTTCTTTGTGTCCGGAGCAGTGATCCCATACTCCTTAATCTTCGCACCTAGCTGTTCAGGAGAAAAATCTTCCATAACAGCAAGAACATCCTTCAGTTCAGCAGCTTTATCAGCAGAGATGGTAAGATCTTTCTCCAGCTTCTCTGTGCAATAATCCTTGAGCAAGTGGTCCGCACGGTAACATGTTCCAGTTTTCTCATCCTTAACCATAAGATCAGTAAACTTATCTACATGCCCAGATGCCTTGAGAACAACCTCTGGTGTCACACACGGACAATCAACTTCTAGCATGTTCTCCTCAAGAATAAAATGCTGCAAATCAAACCAAATCGCATATAAGAACAAACCTAACACAATTTCTACTCTATCAATCATGTCAAATTCTACCCAAATCTATCCCGTGTAAGAACAAACCTAACTCAAATTCTACTCTATAAATCTTGTTGAGTTTGAATACAGAGAAATGTAAAAAGTGTTCCTTACTTGACGCCAAAAGCTCAGGACATTGGACTTAATAGCACATCCAGGAGGACCATAATCAAAAAGTCCAGCGACACCACTGTAGATTTTAAACGAAGGAATATAGAACAAACGCCGCTCAAGAGTGTTGACTACAGCTTTTCGAAAGGCCTCACGGTTAAGAGAACCATTACCAGAGCCACTAATTGTGGACTGAAGCTCCTTCTCAACTGCAGATTTCTCGAGCTTCAATTTGTTAAGTAGCTCGATAGCGGCATCGATATCCGGTTTCGCTGCACGGGAGGCCTTGAGAGCTCGGACGGCGTTACCCTGAGCTTCGACAGATGACGATTTCTCCGATAGGGATTGACGGAGAGATTGTTCAGTGGCATCCATCGGAATCTGAATCGAAGCAATGGAGATGGGTTTGCCAAGGGTTGTGGTGGTTTGGAATCGACGAACACTGTAGATTTGTTGTCTGCGAAGAGAGACAAAGGTAGAGAAGATGCGGTGTTGGTTCCACTTACACATTAGACCTTATGGTTTAGGATAAAGCATCAACAAAGCAATTTTAAAACAGTTGCTAAACAAAGCATACACTCAATTCTAAACAGATCCTAATAGTTGCTAATAGTCTAGAAGTGAAAATCTCAGCTGCAAGTAAGATGAAACAATTGGAAAAAGCTACAAAACGAAATCTCTATCTAAACAAGAAAACGATACTTATTCGATTTCATTTACAAGAATATGAAAGCTAAACAACATCAAAAATCGATACTATGGAAGATACTGAAGATCGTTGAAGATTAGCGAAGGAAGATAATGGTGTTACCTAAGCTTGAAGAAGGTGACACTCTACAAGCTATAACTCTTGTCACGGACGGTGGTGAGTGACAAAGAACCAACAACAATGGCGTTACCCTAATTCCAGTGGCTTTGCTATTTTGTGAGGACTAAATGAAATTAATCATATTGGGCTTATGGGCCTAAATAAAATTATTTGGATTTTAAGAGATGTGGGTTTTATAAACCCAAAGACCAAAACCCAATCTGTCCACAACGTCATTGCTATGGCTGCGATATCATTTAGTTTATATTTCTTTGGTCTTATTCTTCGCCTGATCTCACATTAAAACTGTACTTTCGAAGGGGTCTAAATCATAAAAGATATATGGTATCACATTTGTTCTTTAAAAAGGAAATTAGGGAAACAGTGATGCAAATAATTGAGTCAATCAAATAACCTAAACAGTAGTGTTATTATTCCTTACATATCTATTTCAGTATTTTGTTTCTGGTCGGACTCTCGGACCCTTGATGATCTTTCTTTTACAGTTGTCAAATTTTTCCCAAAGCTTTTGTTGAACGTGTGATATATAAATCAGATCAATATGCCACGAAACTTTGAAAAGGACAAATAAAAAATTTGATAAAAAAATTAATAAACCGAAATAATCCAAATTCCCGAGAAACCCTAAATAAAACCCTCTCTCTCTTTCTGGTGTCTCACTTACTACTCTCTCTTCTGCAGTCTCTCACCCAGTAACAGAGAGCCGACACAGACGAAATGAGTAACCATTGCTTAGAACTCTCTTCTAACATTTTCGCTTCTTCAAAATCTCATCCTCGCTTCTCTCCTTCCAAGCTCTCCAATTCCACCTTCTTCTCTCGCTCTGCCAACAATTACAGAGCTAAATCCAAGCTTGGCTCTTCTTCTTCTTCCTTCTCCACTTTTCTCCCATGTC